CTGCATTTTTGCAAACCACAGCTTGGCTTTCAGGAAACATGGCACTTTAGGTGCTTTTTTATAATTGCTCAGTAGCTCCTTATTCAATAAAATCAGTGGTTTCTGATCATGCCAGTCTTGGTCATCAAAAATCCATAGTTAAAGGGGCAGGAGGAAGAAGGAATTAAGTAGTTGGGTTTTTTTTTTTAAGTGCTTAAATTTGGGAAGTGGTAGGAGAGAACACTTGAAATATTCCATGTGTTCTAGCAGGCAGTGGACTTTTTAATTCTAAGATCACCTACCAGTTTTGATCTTTAACCCAAAGACTTTCTTAGCCAGGGTTCTCCTCTGAACCACAGAATACAAAAAAATGACCTGGGTATTTTCTCAGTGCTCCCAAGGATGCTGTCAAGAACTGTGACATCTGAAATTTGACTCTGCTTTGCAGGGTCCCGCATTGGCCTGCCGTGATTCCAAGGATGCTGGCAGAAGACATTGGGCTCCTGGTCAGAGTCAAAGGACTGTACTAATCACAGCCGTAGCAGTCCTCAGAGTACTAATCCGAATCCCAGTTGCCACAGGGTGATGCCCCGTGGCCCAGATAACACCTGCCTGTGGAGTGTTAGCAAGAGAGAAACCCAGAGCTCAGGAAAACCAGATCTTTTATGACAGTAAAGCCTGCTCTTCGCTCCAGGGGAAGACACACCTTTATCTTCCAAGGCCCTGTGCTCTGAAAACATCCTTGAAAAGATAATCCATCCTTTGCTCACTAGAAGTGCAGAAACACCAGAGACCCGTATTGAATTGTCTCCCAATGCATGGGTAGCTAGAACAGTTCTAGACATGCAGGAGAGGTGTTAATTCATTATGTACATGGATGCCTTAGGACGCCTTCTCTCCAGAGGGCCAGGCTGAGAAAAACTGCTAGATCACACCGAGGGCCCAGGCTGAGAAAAACTGCTAGACCTTTGCTCTGGGCTGCCGTTTCCCAAATGCCTAGGGTTCCTCTAAAATGTTTTAAGTCAAAGAAGAGAAAGACAATGCCAGAAATTCTCCTTTAAAAGGAATACTTTACTGCTTTTTGAGAAAATTATAAGTATTTTAAAGAATTAAAAAATATTTTTTGATCCTTATTACCAAAAAAAACAAAATAAAACCCAAATTCTGGAAAGTAGGGGATGGTTTATATAAAGAAACTCATGTTTACAATTTCTTGCCTTCCAAAAAAAAAAATGTTGGCAGGTTGCTTTTGGAGACACCTGTGAAACATCATCTGGCCTCTGCTGGCTGAGGCGAGAATTCAGGTCTTAGGTCTTGAGTATATTTAACCGCTTCCTGCCTCATCCCCACTCCTTCCCAGCGAAGAAGCCCATGGAAATTTTCTTATATTCTCATGGCTACTTGGCTCCGTTTCCTGAACTTTGTTTGGCTGGGCAGGTCTCCTCTTTCACAGGACTTAGTTCTCCACGTGACTTAACGATACCTCCTCCCCATATTAGAGGCGGATATGAATAGTCCAGTCTGCAAAGTTTATGCCCACAGGGAAGTCCCGAGCAGAGGCTTCTGAGATACTGTGGGGAAACCCAGGGACTCAAATACAGAAATTTAGGTCTAAGTGGGAAGCCTGAAAAGACTCTCTTGGTGAACCAGTGAGTGTGGGATCACATAGCACATCTGTGTGTTGACAGAAGACAGAAAAATCACAGAGAACAAACCAAGAAGCAAGAAAGGCTCATGTTGTGAGCTTGACTCTGGACAAGGATGGGTGACTCTGAGTTCCTGTTTTGGGACAGGCTGGAGAAAGCCGAGCTAAGGATAGGCCCTCACCTTCTGCACCTGCTATTCCAACAATTCTTTCACTTGCCAGAAGGAGTATTTTCCCTTTACAAAAAAACAAAACAAAACATTTCTTTTTATTTTACTTTTTTTTTTTGCGGTACGTGGGCCTCTCACCGTTGTGGCCTCTCCCGTTGCGGAGCACAGGCTCCGGACGCACGAGCTCAGCGGCCATGGCTCACGGGCCCAGCCGCTCCGCGGCATGTGGGATCTTCCCAGACCGGGGTACGAACCCGTGTCCCCTACATCGGCAGGCGGACTCTCAACCACTGCGCCACCAGGGAAGCCCAACATTTCTTTTTAAAAGAAAGATGTGAGGATGAAGCAGATCATAGCTGTAAAATTTATGACCTTTCCTTTTAAAGAGCCTTATAAATACGCACACTGTTACCTTATCTTCATCCCGTAGCTGTCCTCCCTCTCAGCAGATAGATGGCCGTCATTTCATCACTTGGCTATTTATGACCAGGAAGGGTTGGTTCGGGTGGGGTAACACACCTCATCCTCCACCACCACCAGCACCCACCAGCGCCTTGAGTAATTGCTGGGAGATAACATGGCAGTTGTTTGGCTAACTCTGGTCTTAAGTTCTCTGTCAGAGCTTCACTCACGCCATCCTCTCCCTTCCTGATTAGTAAGAACCCATTAAGGTTTCATTTTCTGCTGAAGAATTGAGTGACTTTTGCTGTTGGTGATACAGATCGCCTTGAGATTTCTAGGTGTCTTTGCTTGGTATGAAGTAGGTTTTATGACTTCCAGATGAATGGCTGGATAGGGGGATTGTAAATAAGCTGTTCAGAGAATAATGTTTTTAAAATGTTCCTCCTTCCCCCCCTTTTCTGATCAGAGTAAAGGCAACCTTCTGTGTACTAAATATCTATCAAGTCAGTAATGCAATATTTCACGGGCCTGGTGTATAATACTCAGCTGTAGTGTTAGCACATGTCAACTGGCTGCTTCAGATGTGGCTTGAAGACTTCCTGTGCCAAGCCCTCTGCCCGGCTTTGTGAATCTACACAGAGAGTTAACCCAGCTGCTCTCAACCCAGAGGTGAGAGAAATGTCTGAAACCAACACAGAACAACTCATGCTGATTGGCCCTCCCATTTATTGGTGTGACGGGCCTTCAGAGAAGGTCTGTGACTTAGAGAGCCCAGAGGAGAACTGGGGGAGGCAGCTGGAGCTGAGCCGGGGCGGGGGCGGGGGGGACAGATTGGAGCCAGCAGAGGAGCGGAAGAGCCTGAGCGGGGAGGAGGGGAAGTCAGGGGAGCAGAGCTGTGGGCTGAGCAGCCAGGCTGCCAGGGCAGGTGGGAGCACACGCCTGTTCCTGGGGAGGCACACGGGGTGGACTGGGTCTTACCCAGGTGGCTGAATGTGGCTGATGGAACTGGCCGAATGGGAGGCCTGGGGCTAGGGCCTTGGCTAGGAGACCTCCGCCGTGACCCCGGCATGAGCAGTGAGAATGGGATCGTCTCCTGTTCATGACGAGAGCTTAGAGAAAGGAACAGCCTGGGAGCTTTTTGCAGTAAAAATGGACAGGACGTGGTGTTAGTTCTGCTTTAGAAGAAGAATCAAAGATAACGCGCAGTAATATGGAAGGACACGGAAGCTGCTTGTAGAAACTGGTTTTAGCCAAAGAGGGTGAACTTGAGGTGAGGGGCATCTGGGTATAGCAGCGTTGAAGACATATGTGTTGAAAATGTACTTGAGTAAAACGAGAAGCCTTCAGCACTGGGCTTTTAAAGCAAAGCTTCGTAGACCATAGTCACAAGTCTCCAGTTTTGAAATCATTGAAGAATAATTTATTCAGATCAGCATGTATTTATCGAACCCTCCACGTTTAGAGGCCCCTCCATGAGTCCGTTTACTGACCTTTTTACATTAACTTATTTTCAAAATTGGCAACTATTAGGGAATGTTAAGGTCACCAACGATTTACTGTTCATTGGTTTCTCCCTTAAAGGCTAGTCTTTGGTCCACTCTACAGGAATCTTGATGCCCAGTGGCATTCTGTTCTGAGTTGCCACATGTATATGACCAGATGAAAGAGCTTTATTTTTTTATTTTTTTATTTTTCTTTTTTTATTGGAGTGTAGTTGCTTTACAATATTGTGTTAGTTTATACTGTACAGCAAAGTGAATCAGCCATATGTATACGTATATCCCCTCTTTTTTGGATTTCCTTCCCATTTAGGTCACCACAGAGCATTGAGTTGAGTTCCCTGTGCTATACAGTAGGTTCTCATTAGTTATCTATTTTAGGCGTAGTATCAATGGTGTAGATATGTCAGTCCCAGTCTCCCAGTTCATCCCATCCCCGCTTGGTATCCATACCTTTCTTCTCTATGTCTTTGTCTCTATTTCTGCTTTGTAAATAAGATCGTCTATACCAATTTTTTCAGATTCCACATATATGCCTTAATATACGATATTTGTTTTTCTCTTTCTGACTTACTTCACTCTGTATGACAGTCTCTAGGTCCATCCACGTCTCTACAAATGACCCAATTTTGTTCCTTTTTATGGCTGGGTAATATTCCATTGTATACATGTACCACATCTTCTTTATCCATTCCTCTGTTGATGGACATTTATGTTGCTTCCATGTTCTGACTGTTGTAAGTAGTGCTGCAGTGAACATCGGGGTGCATGTGTCTTTTTGAATTATGGTTTTCTCTGGGTATATGCCCAGTAGTGGGATTGCTGGGTCACATGGTAGTTTTATTTTTAGTTTTCTAAGGAATCTCCGTACTGTTCTCCGTAATGGCTGTACCAATTTAGACATTAAAAGGCCACTGTTGAATATTTAGAGCTCTAGGTCATGGGCTTGGCTGTAGATTCTTGCGACTTTCCTTATAAGCAGAAAACATGAATACCGCACAAGTCCAAGCAACTGGTTTTGGCCATTGGATTCTGGTGTTGTAATTAGTGCACCAGTATGGCGCTAGGTTGGACAAGACTAGATCTTCTCCACAAACCTGAATAAGTACAATGAGGCATCTCTAGTTTTGGGGTGTGGCTCTTGGGGCTCCAGACCTGGGAGGAGGTGGAGAGGACTCTGTCCCTTTCAGTCATCAGGAGAGAGAAAGGAACTATCGCCGTAGCCATTGAGGGATGGGGTGTCATGTATTTGGTGTTCCGTGGCCTTTATACTATTAATCCTGTTCTTCAAACTTCCATGCTTAGCCCAGGCCAGGCCCGGTCATCCACAGTCCAGTGGCTTAACCCTCAGTCACCAGCCACACCGAGCTGCAACCCAGCCGTTACACCTCCTTCACCCAAGCTGTCGTCTTTCCCCCCCTCTTTTCCTGCTACCGTAGCGGACAAGCCACCTGAAAGGTACGTGGTTTGGAATGTGATGTAGAATGTGAGGGCGGCACACAGAGGGGCTTGATCAACCTGAGCCACGTCTTGTGCTCCCCACATGGAAGAAGCTTCCGGTCTCCTGGACTTCGTGGACAACATTTGCAACTTTGCCTTAGACTTAAAGGTTCAAGAGCAAGTACATTCTTAGAGATTTGCCTTACGTGAGACCTGCTTGAACCTACTCTTTGGTGCTGGCTGTGCATTTATGAAACCACGTATTTTGGAGAAACTTTTTATACGTGAATAGAAAGCACATGGTTTGTTTTAAAGGAAGGTAAATGGGGCACTGGAAACTGTAATTAACACAGCTCTTTAATGGGCCAGTGGTGCAGAGGCCAGAGGTGCTGACCTTTAGCAAAGCCCTTCCTCCGGGACAGCAGGCTGAGGCCCTTCTCCCCATCAGTGGCTTCCCCTGCTCCGGTGAGGTGGGATGCTTCCTTCTGCCTCGGTGTGCGTCTGGCTGACAGCCTGCTTTCCATCCTTCCCCACTGTGTTCTTTTCCCACAAGAACACACAGGATGTTTTGACAGGTGTTGAGAAGCCGAGCCTGATGTACCTTTTGGGGGCGAGACCCAGCTGAGAGCAATGAGCCCCTTCCAGGGAGGCGTGAAAGCAGAGCGTCACTGTGGACAGATGGGTGTCCGAGGTGCATGGCTGGAGCCACTTAGTGTCCGTGTGCCTCTGCCCTTCACTGCCTCGCCTTCGGTCTCAAGACACCGGTGCTTTTCCTTAATAGATAAACCGAAATGCTTCAGAAATAAACGTGCCCTGTGGTTCTAATAACACTGAGCGAGAGGGAAGGGCATCCCGCTGAGCGGAGAGAAGTAGGTGAAGAGGTTCAGAGAAGGCTTCTCGGAGAGGCTCCCTAAAGAAAGATTGGAGTTTGAAACCTGTCATTTACTTGACAGTCAAGTGCTGTGGTTTGCCCGATGTTCCCTTTCCCTCTAATTTCCTTTTTGGAAGGAGCTGCCGTGCTGGTGACATAGAAATGAGATTTGGGCAGTGCGGGCGGGGGAAAGGTGAGGTTTCTCATGTTTCACTTGGTGCCTTGCGTGTTCCCTCTTCAGCGTCATCAATCGGAAGGCCCGGGCGGTGTACCCGTGTGAAGCAGAACACAGCTCGGAATTGTCTTTTGAAATAGGAGCGATTTTTGAGGATGGTAAGTGTTAGCGGGAGCTTTGTGGGAGGCTGTCTTCTGCCGGCGCAGAGGGTCTGCCACCCAGAGCAGACAGGCGGTCCCTGGCAGTGGGTTTGTCAGGAGTAGAAGTCTGTCCCTTGACGCTTTGGACGGGCGAGAGCCTGCCCACCTGGCTTCCAGGAACCGAACGCCAGGGGGCTGTGGGTGCCCACTTCCGCTTTAATCTTGGTTATTCTCCAGCTCTTGTAACTCTTGAGGGTCTTCGTTTGGGATATCTTTCTCCTGATGTAGAGAAGCCGGTGCCACTTGGAGTCAAGAAATGTTTGTGATTTGCATCTTCTGTTTTCCTCCCGCAGCGTCCCCACCCTAGCCTCCTAAATGCTTCAGGTTCACCAGCTCTGAGCTACAGACAAGTGCTTTGTCGACCACTTTTGGTTTATCGTTCCCTTACCATTCTTGTGCGTTACATGAGTTTTCGCTTGTTTGAATAGTGCATGAATCTCTAGATACGGGTATTGATTCTGCATACTGAAACCAGGGTATAGATTTTTGTTTGCATGTTTAATAGTCACACATAAGCATTGAGGAGCTATGCCCGGCTTCAGATTGCGCAAATTCCTCCCATGGTTCAGTGTACATCTCTTCCCTCCCCCTTGATTTCTTCCTTCCCCGTCCTCCTCATTATGAAATTCATTGGTTGCTATGGAAACAGTGATGTTGTGTGGGGGCAGAGCTGCCCAAAAGGGTTCTGGAGAGGCAGCGAGAACCTTTGATGCTTGGAATGGAATGGTTGATTAGCCAGAATGTTTGGAATATACGGAGTATATCAACACAACGCCTGGTGCTATATTGTCAGTAATGCGGCATGAGCTGATGATTGTTTTTTAGAAAGCAAGTTGCCTCATTTAGAGTAGATTTCTATATCTGTGTGATACGTACTCTGGAGAGCCAGAGACTCCTGATAGTGTCAGAAAACAAACAACACAAAACCCCACATATGACAGAATTACACTTTGTGGAGAAATTTTGCTCTTGGAGTAGAAGCAAGATCAGTCCTCTGTCACCATAACATACATGCATGCAGTTTTGGCAGGAGAGTCAGTTAGCTGCCCTCCTCCAGGCCTGTCATGTACAGGCACCCATACGGCAGAAGAGAAAGCGGAGAGCACTGAAACCCACCATTTAGGAAATGAGGGTGAATTTTGACGCTGTGTGGTTGATTAGATTTGTTCGGGGCCTCAGAACACAGTATTGTTCTTAGGACACTTACCTTGGTGGAAGGTGTATCTATTAGAAATGCCTTTGGCTGCAAGTAACGGATAGAGCTGGTTAAAGCAGTCACGAAAGCGGATTCGCTCACGCACTAAGAAGTCTGCACGTGGGGAGCTCCAGGGGCTGGTTAATCACCTTCTCAGAGATGTCACCCAAGACCGCAGTGTTTCCGTCTCTGCTTATGGACAGGGACCCCTGGCCGGTTCCTCAGTGCGGGTGGGATGGCTGTCCCAGTTCCAGGCCTCATGGCCACACTCAATCCTAGCAGAAGGGGGTTGCCTCATCCTTGTGTTCTTTTTTTAAGCATGAGAAAACTTTTTCAGAACATCCTTCCTAGGTGACCTGCTCTCACGTCTCAATAGCAAGAATGAGGTCATGTGCTCCCCTTAAAGTCATTGCCAGCCAGGACTTCAGATCAATCAGCACCACACTGGGTCCAGGGGCTTCTCCTCTGGGCACGCAGACATGGGAATGGGGGTCAGGACCCCAATCAAATCCGGTTCTGCCAACTTGGATATTGGGAAAGGCCGATAGATGTCTGACGCGGGACACTGAAGTTCTGCACTTTTAAAGTCCCTTGGTGACTTGCAGGAGACCTCCTAAGAAAAAGAGTGTGTGTGTAGGTGTGTGTGTGTCTGTCTGTCTGTTTCTCTGTCTCTCTGTATATACTCATATCCATGTATACACACACATACAGGCATACACACACATATCTCAGTGTGTTTCGGGAACAGGAGAGTGATTGATAGCAGGTAGCTATCAACTCTGCACTTATTTTGCCTGAGGTCAGTTGGCTTTTCCACTTTCTCTGTGACCCTAGACAAGTTCCTTAAGTTCTCTCTGCATCAGCCTCTCCATCCTAATCCACAAGGATGTCCACACATGTGGTGATGTGTCAGGGCAGCATTTTGGGCCACGTGTGCAGTACAGACATTGTGGAGGATGTTGCCAACCTTGGAGCCTCGCTTGGCGCACCGTGCACCTGGCTTCGTTTTGAGCCGAGGCACGTACCACTCAGATTCCGGGCTCTGTGGCGCTGGTGTCCTCAGGTCCTCCCCCAGGCCAGCTGCTCTAGAGACACTTGTTGATGTGTTGACACCTTCCCCATTCGGGAGCACGTGCACGTCTCGTCTGATGTGAGCTCCTTGCCTTGCAGCCCCTGCATCCCACTCCTGTTGCCAAAGATATGCACGGGGACCACGATTGGAACCCACATCCCCAAACTTTCTGTTTCTTAGGGTGGTTCTTAAAGGTCACAGGAAATGGAAGGCCCTTAAGCAGGATTTATTCTTTTCTGGGTGTTTGTACCTTCATCTTCTGTGCATAGTTGATCTCTTAGCAGAGACTTGATAACTAGTTAGAAGTGTTTGCTCAGAGCACGTCTAGTGATGCCTTTCCTTGAACGGCTGCGGCTCTTCCCTTCCGAAGCCGGACGCAGGCCGGGCCGGAGCAGCAGCTCCCCTGGCCTCAGCTTCCGTTGCTCCAGGCGGCCACTGTTTATAACTCAGCCACTGGAGTGTCGCTGGGAACATGTCCTTCCTGCAGACCAGGGATACTTAGCATCGCTGAAATGCCTAAGACGTTTTTTCTGTGTCTATCTGGAGTCTTCCAGCTACCGTAAATGCTCTTGCCTTGCCAGCCGCTCTTGTCCTTCGTGCAGGCAACAAAGGAAATTGGCTTACGCCATTCAGTGGCCTTTGGAGAAGACAAAATCCAGGTCAAAGTGGTCCCTGGGCCGCATTGTCAGTAGTCACGCGGTTGCGAACATATACAACAGTAGGAACTCCTGACCCAGAGTGTGGAAGGGAAAGGGCTCTTTAGTAATCACCTTGCCCCATAACTGTCCCTTGCTCTTCACTCTTACCGTGTGGGCCTGGACTTGAGTTTAAATTCTAAGCTGAAGATTCATTTCTATAGTAGACGCACTAATGCTTAGCCGTTGTTCTGGGGCAGTGCCTCCCATATCCTCCAGGGGGCGCCGTGTGTAAGGTCTCAGGGCAGCTGATGTGCGTGTGACAACCAGAGGCCAGTGCCCTTTTCTCTGGGCCTGGGGAACCTCAGAAATACGTTACCTTGGCGACCAGTCAGTTCTGCTCTCTTTCCCGATAGGTAGCCCTGCAGCTGCCGGACCCACCAGTCCAAGCAGGGAGTGGTCTCCCTCCCCGGGGCTGCCAGGCATTAGGATTTCCAAGGTCTGGCTCTCTCTGGGCCAGGGAGGCTGGCTGCCTTGTTTGCCAGACTTTGTTCATTTCTAACCTGGAGACAGGATCTGTCCATTGTTTGGGGAGCAGGTGTGGCCCAGATTCATCTTTAAAAGCTGCCCTCAGATATATAAAGTCCTCAGATATATAAAGAGCAATCCTTGGAAGACAGCTCGCCATTATCTTAGAAAGTTGACCCTCTTATAGACCCCACAACCTAACAGTTGTGTTCTTATATATATCCCTAACATGAGGGAATCTTAGAAACTCATTTTAAGTAAAAAAAAATTAAGTGCAAGAAGCCTCTATTGTGCATGATTCTGGTTCAACTCACGCACAAACAAAATAAGTAGTATATTATTAGGGATATAAACGTACGTGATGAACCTATGTTTGAACCATCTCTGGGGTAAGACAGTGAGAAGCACACCATTGAAGCTGCCGATCGCCTTGGAGCAGGGGGAGGGTGTGAGGGGGGAGGGCAGGACACAGGAATAAGCCCAGGACAGAGGCGTCAATGTCGGCTGCAGTTCTTGAGTTGAGTGTGGGTCCCTGCTCTTTGTTGTATAATGATGATTTAGATATTTGTCATTCATATTGTTTACATCATGCTAAAAAATACCCCAAGCTGAGACCAGATTCTGTTCTGGAGAAAGCTTCTCACAAAGTATTCTTGTCCCTAGCTCAGTGTCCTTGTTATGGGATGGTAAATCAGGAGGCCATGGAGAAACCACCGTGAGATACCACGTTACAACCTATTAGGATAGTCGTGATCAAAGATACGGAAAATAACGAGTGTTGGTGAGGATGTGAAGAAATTGGTACCCCAGTGCACGGTCGGTGGGAATGTAAAATGGTGCAGCTGCTGTGGAAAATAGTGGGGTAGGTCCTCGGAAATTAATCATAGAATTACCATGTAGTCCAGTAATTCCTCTTCTGGATATGTAGCCCAAAGAGTTGAAAGCAGAGACTCAAATAGATTTGTACACCCATGTGCATAGCTGCATTATTCACAATAGCCAAAAGGTAGAAACAGCCCAAATGTCCGCTGACAGACAAATGGATAAACAAAATGGGGTCTATACATATAATAGTGTATTCATCCATAAAAGGGATGAAATTCTGACACGTGCTGCAACATGGATGAACCTTGAGGACATTATGCTAAGTGAGATAACCCAGTCACCAAAGGGCACGTATTGTATGATTCCACTGATATGACATATCTGTAGTAGGCATGCTCATGAAGACAGAAAATAGAATAAAGGTTACCAGGAGCTTGGGGAGGGGCAATAGGGAGGTAGTGTTTAATGGGGACAGAATTTCAGTTTGGGAAGATGAAGTTCTGGAAATGGATAGTGGTGATGGTTATACAGCATTGCGAATGTACTTAATGCCACTGAACTGTACACTTAAAAATGGTTACAGTGGTTACATACCTCCATATATATGTTACATATATTTTACCACGAGTAGAAAAGATGATGAAAGCAGGCAGTGTTGGTGTGACCGTCATCACATACTCATCAGGTTCTTAAGGATGTGAGCCTTGCCCGGGGCCAGCGCAGCTCGTTAGTGGCAGGACAGGATCTGTGGCGTAGGCGGTAGCTGGCACACAGTTAGTGCTCCCCACTGTGTGCCAAGTGAGTGCTGTACTCTTTGCCTTGAGTCATGGGAGTCTTCAGTGAGCAGCCTCTTGGTGTGGGGCGTGGAGCTACCGACCTGCCCTGTCCCCACAGGAGATTGTGGCCAGGTGGCAGCCCAGCATGCGGGGACAAGCGGGAATGGTCCTCATTCCTCTCCCATGGTCACTACCTCCCTGAGTGTTTGAGGAAAGGATCTACTCGGCCCCCGGACCCCTACCCCACGTTGCACGATCCCTGGGTGCCTTTCCAGTAGAATCCAGTCCTTTTCCCCAACAGGGGCTGTGCTCCGATGGCATTGCCAGCGTGGGATTAAGTGAGACCCCTTAAAAACCCTGCTGTGAGGAACGATGTCGGGGTGAAAGTGTGCGAAGAAAGGGGTGCCACCAGGTCACCTGGAAGGCGCATCTCTGGTTCATTTGTTTATTCATCCTTTGAGCAAATCATCCTGGTCAAGCACTGTGCTGGGGAACACAGGTCATCTTATGTTAGAGCCTAGACTAGGAGGGAGAGTCGTGTGTGTGTGTGTGTGTGTGTGTGTGTCTCACACACACACACACCCCAACTCACAGGGAATGAGTAGGGGGCACATATGGCGGCTCTGACCTGGTCTGGAGCATTGGGAGTGGTCTCGGAGGGAGGGGATACCTCAGCTGGTATCTGAAGGGCAAGGAGGGTTGTCCAGGCATAAACGGGGAGGAAAGCAGAGGACCAGCCATGCAGAGCTTGGACTGTGGGTTGCTACACAGGAGTGGGTTATGAACCCCGTTTGCTGAGTTGCCATCAGCCTTGAAAAATAATAGAAAAGAGTGCATCACACATAGTGAGGAAGTGCTGTTCCGTGAAGCGTTTGTGTATTGGGCACGTGGACATGTGTGCTGGGCACGTGGACATGTGTATTGGACACGTGGACATGTGTGCTGGGCACGTGGACATGTGTGCTGGGTTTCAGCTACACAGTCAACCGTCTTCTGATGGGCTGCGGTCATGGCTGCCTTGCTTGGCCAGCCCCCGACTTGGTCTGCTGATCCAGCCCGCACCTCCCCTTTCTTCTACGTGCACGGATGCCACATCTGCTCCTGGCCATGGCCGAGGCCTGAGTCGGGGCCTGCCCACAGCTGGGGGCTACTGGATGCTTCTAAACCCTGGTGATGGATGTTTGGACCCTGTGCCCTTTGCCGTCTAGCCTGCGGTCACTGTCCTGTGTGTCCGTCATGGCTCTTTGTGGAACGTGGGGTGTGCTGGGCACTGTGCCCAGCTGTGGAAGGTCTCGCCCTGCCCTCAGGAGTTCCCCGTCCAGGTGGCAGTCAGACAGGTGCCCAGATGATGCCGGTGAGGCCTGGCAAGTGCCGAGAATGGCCGAGGAAGACTCCCCAGAGGACAGGGTATGTGGGGTCTCTGACGAGGAAGAATTCCCCGGTGAAGAAGTGGGGAAAGGCGTGTCAGCAGACGGCGCTGCAGGTACAGAGGTTTAGAGGCTCAGCTGGGGCTTTCTCTGGATGATTCACCGTGGGTGACCCGCATGATGTACTTGTGGGCGAGTGACTGGTGGTTCGGGAGGTGGCAGGGCCAGGTGCCCGTGCAAGCTTGGGTTTGTTCCTACAGACAGTGGATGTTACGCAGGGCAGTGCCGTGTCCAGCTGTGTGTTCTGGAAGGTTCATTGAGCTCCTTTGTGCACTGTGGATTGGGAAGAACCTGACCGGAAGCTGGGGGACCGGTTAGGAGGCTGTGGCGTGAAGACAGGTGAAGGCTGGGGTGACCAGGGGGGCACCTATAAATAACTCTTGTGTAGATTTGTAACCAGACATCCCAGGAACGGCCCCCACTTCGGTGTTGGTTGAGCCTTTAAGATCCACAGCGGTACGGTGAGTTCCCAGGCGGAAAGTACCCAGGAGCATTTTGGTAAAAAGGATTTCTCTTCCTTTCCAGTGCAAACCTCAAGAGAACCTGGCTGGCTGGAAGGGACTTTGAATGGCAAGAGGGGCCTGATTCCACAGAATTACGTCAAGCTGCTGTAGCAACTGGCCCGTGAGGGTCCCACTGCAGACCCTGGCCCCCGAGGACCTGCCTGTGGGGTGTGAGCACCGTCTTCCCCCCAGGTGAACCCACGGCCACCTGGACACACGGCAATGACAGATCACGGACTGGCACTGCAGGGGTGGGGGGGGTGGTTTAATACTGCTAGACGTGGGGGGAGAGGGGGCGCACAGCACAAACCTGCGGAGGGCTGTGCGGATATGCGCAGCGGGAGGAGGATGTCCAGGCTAACAGGGTGGACGCTGCATTTTCAAGCCTTGGGACTCATGAGTTTTAATTTTCCCGTCTGCAGAGCGAGAGGAAGGGCAGCCTTCTGCCAGCCCGCCTGCCCCACTGGCAGCCACACCACCGGACAACCCCCTGCGCACCTGAAAGGGAACTGCGTTTGCAGGATGTGCCCTTAACTCAGGTGTCGTGGAGGGGCTGCCGCGGGCGGGCGGTGCATTGGTCTAAACCCAGAGGGCAGCGGACAGAGGCTCCTTGCCGTATGGACAGCTGCCCTGGGGACCCCACACTCACTGGACTTAGGGCACCGGTGGACTCACAACAGGCTTTCTCCTCCATGCTGCTCACCTGTGTGCTGTTTCCCCAACTATCACCTTTCAGCCCCGAGCTCTCTGTACATGAAATAAAATATAATTTACTATTGGATCTGTGTCCTCACGTGGGGAAGAGACTGTGGAATTCACTCACTCTGTAACATTTCACGATCTGGCAGCTGGTGGACGGGCATGCACTGTCCCCTGGTGTTGGCACGTGTGCACTCACAGGCAGGATGGGTCACCCAGGAGCCTTGCTGCTTCGGAGCGGGGTTTCTGGGGGCAGCGGTCTTCTCTGACAGGTGAGATCCTGGCGGGCCCCCTCCACTGCCTCAGCTGGCCTCTCCCGCGTGTCCTGCAGGAACCCGGGCCAGGATGGGGCTGGGGCGCTGCCCCCCGGGGCTTTGTGTGTGAGACCCGCCCTCCCAGTGACCTTCAGTGTACAGCCCTGTCCCCACCCCACACTCCCTATGTTTTCCAGGCCTTGACGCTCACGTCTCCATCTGGATTTAAGCCGGGCTGCAGGGCGGCGGGTCAGGCATTCGGAACGGTCCTGGAGGAACCTCAGCCACGCCCCTGCAGTGGATGCTTTGTTGTTTGTCTTGTCAGTCTCCGACTCCCAGGCACAGGCTAAACCAACCTCTCCGGGAAGGGGGAACTTCTCTGTCCCCTGACCTGGAGTCCCTGGGATGTGGAGCTCATTTCTAGGGGCCTCAGGATTGTGAAGCCAGCCCTGCCCCAGGGCCCACTCTGGGGGCCCGGCATGTCTGTCTTCCCCATGGGAGGCTCCTCGGCCTGTCACAGTTCTCCCCTAAGATTGTCACAGGAAGGATGTGTCCGTCACCTCTTCCCCAGGTGAGATGATTCCAGAGCGCTGGTTATCAGTTTGGACCTCGCCTCCCCTGGACCAGGTAAGGTGTCAAGTTTGGGGTCAGGTGTGTAGAGGGGAACAGGCCCATTGAAAAGTATCCACGTTCTACCTAAAAAAAGTAAGGACAATCTCAGTGCAGCATAATTTAAAATACTGGATTGCAGGCCCAGTGGAGGGTTGTGGGGCTGCTGAAGAGCCCAGGGCCCCATGACAATGGCTGGCCCTAAGGCCAAGGGCCAGCCTGACCAGGGGGTGGGGATGGCATCGTCCCCCTTGTCCCCTGTGTTTCTGAGTTATCACTTCCTGCCCCTGCCCGCTGCTTAGGGATGTAGAAGGAAAACTTGGCCTGGGGCAAACTCTCCCATTTCTGTGGGAAAATACAAACTCATGGGCAGTTACAGTGAGTGGGCTCAGGTTAGCACTGGGAATGATTTCCTGGCCGTGTTCTTAATTGGTGTATATTCATGGGGCAGTAAAAATATGACCCACCACACTGGGGCTTGATTTCTTTGCTCGCTTGAGGAAGACTTCGCTCATTCACCGTGAGGTGCACCCAACCTGCTGTTGCCACCAAACTGTTGTTAACTCCCAAAGTGCGTTTATCACCACTTCCTTGGTCAAGGAAATTGCTGTGAGGTCTGGCTGCCTGTGCGGTTTGGGGCAAATTAAGTTGACTCTGTGATTCTGTTCCTGCTTTCTAAAAAGAAAATGGTACTCAGAGGTTTTGGGTTGAAGTGCCTGAATACAAGTAGCATGCCCAGTACATAGTACGTGCTCAGTTAGCACCATGCCCAGTACATAGTATGTGCTCAGTTAGCACTGCTAGTCCCCATACTGTTACTGCTGTGAGTGTCACTTGCCTCTTTGTTGTTGGGGCATCTGTGTTCTGTAGGATGACAGTGTGGCAAGGGTGAAGCCTCAGGACAGCGCTGGCTGCAAGGGCTCCCCCAGCCCTGCCAACCCCTCCTGTGGTTGTTTCAGGAAGAACGGGGTCACGCCAGAGGGGAGCCAGGGGTGTCTTCCTCTGCAAGTAGGACCAGTGTGGCCAGGTTGGCCGCAGCCCCCAGCTGGGTAGCCTCCCTCTGGGCCTGGCCCAAAGTGTACTTAGTGACTGGACCAGGAAGTGTTCCCTTAACTGGCAGATCATCTTCATTTCCTCAGAGGTGAAATGGGGGGATGGGGGGATGGGGTGTTTTTGCTGCATGGGTGCGGCCAATCCCCTGAGCATCTGTTGAAGGCTGGCTGAGCAATGGCCCTGCCTCTCTCACGGCTCAGGCCCCGCAGCCCCGCCTTGTTCAGCACCAGCTGCTTAGACCAGGTTTCGGCCTGTGTTCATTCAGAGGCACACGATAGGGCCGTGGGATTTGGGCAAAAGAGGGCGCTCAGATTTTGTTTCTTACTTGCGGTGGGGCTTGCATTTGATGGTGTCACCCCAAGGCTGGCCCTGGTGGTCTCTGTGCCTGGAAAGGAGATGCCAGGTGAGATCAGAGCCAAGTGGCCTAGGGGAGGCTGTAACCCCCCCTTTCTTTGTAGTAGTAGAAACGTCTGTAGCTGGGAGTCTGCTTGGGGAAAGCAATGGATTGTCCGTACCGGTGGTGGGCATTCAACTCATTCTTTCTTTACAGAGACTGACTGAGCCAGGGGAAATTATCTCATTTTAACGGAGGCTCTCGAGCAGAGAGCTTTGTTTAGATTCAGTAAGCTAGCTATGGTCTTTCTGCTCTACCATCTTGCTGCTGGGGGCCGGTAGGGGACAGTGGCTGTTATGAGTTGAATTGTGCACCACCATCCAAAATGTTGAAGTCCTAACTTCAGTACCTCAGAACGTGACCTCATTTGGCAGTAGGATCATGGCAGATGTAATTAGTTCAGATGAGGTCAGTAGGGTTGGGCTCTAATCCAGTATGATTGGTGGCCTTATGAAAACGGGCAATTTGGACACGGAAACAAGCACAGAGGGAAGGCAGTGGGAAGACACACAGGGAGAAAATGGCCACGTACAAGCCAAGGAGAGAAGCCAGATACAGATGCTTTCCTCATGGCCTTGGAAGGAGCCAAGCCTGATGACCTCTTGATCTCAGACTTCTAGCCTCCCAAACTGGGAGACATTTCTGTTGATTTTAAGTGCCTCCACGCCCCCCCCCCCGCCCTGCCCTGCCCCCAGTTTGTAGTTCCTTGTTACGACATTTCTAGGAAACAAATACAGTGGCTGAAGTACGTGTTTTGAGTTAAAAAACAACCTATTTTGAAATTCTATTTTCACTGTTTTATACCTTGGTGACCTTGGACGAGTTCACTTCACCCCTTTATGTATCAGTTTTCTTCTGTGAAATGGAGAGAGTGGTACCAACTTCACTGGGAGGTTGGGACAAATGATGATATTAAGTGCCTCAAGGGTACCTGGCAAGAAATACGGTTTAGTAACCGGGGAAGATGGGAGACGGTAGACCGCAGGGTACCATGTTGGGGGGTGGGGTTAGTCTGCCCCCCCCTGCCCTGCCCCGTTTGTAGTTCCTTGTTACGACATTTCTAGGAAACAAATACAGTGGCTGAAGTACGTGTTTTGAGTTAAAAAACAACCTATTTTGAAATTCTATTTTCACTGTTTTATACCTTGGTGACCTTGGACGAGTTCACTTCACCCCTTTATGTATCAGTTTTCTTCTGTGAAATGGAGAGAGTGGTACCAACTTCACTGGGAGGTTGGGACAAATGATGATATTAAGTGCCTCAAGGGTACCTGGCAAGAAATACGGTTTAGTAACCGGGGAAGATGGGAGACGGTAGACCGCAGGGTACCATGTTGGGGGGTGGGGTTAGTCTGCCCCCCCCTTTTCATCTCCTAGCTATGCCTGCTTCCCTCCAGCATACCTTCTCCAAGGCCATGTGTTGCCCTTTCCCTCTGCCCTATATTGTTCGCCCTTTCTCTGCCTTCCCAAGAGCACACGCTGCGTCCTTCATCTTGACCTTGTCTCCGTTCCCATTCGCTTTCGTGCTGGGCCCCTTCTCACTGGTTCTCCCCTTAAGACTCTCACAGCCAGGTATGGTGACCCCTTCCTCAGCCAGGGTTCTGCGTGACTTTTTGAATCTTCCTGAGCTACCCGACTTTCTTTCCTCCCTCCTCTGGGATGGAAGTTATTCCAGGAGAGTGTCCTCAAACAGCTTTCTGGCTCCTAGCTCTGCAAGTGTCTTCTCTGATGCTTGTCAGCACTCTTTTTCCTTGACTGGCCTGGGTGGTACCTTACTGCTCCCCTATTTGGGTAACCCGGCACATTCTCTTAATGCCTTAATGTCTGGCTAAAAGTATCTCAATCTGCTGGGTGGAGTACCTTGGAGAACTCTTTCCTATCAGAATATCAGCTTGACTGGGAAGTAGACTTTTGATTTTTGCCCAAAGAGAGACCGCATTTTGGATGTGCAGTAAGTGCATGGGATTCCTTTAGGCTGCTCGGTACCATGCATCAGTGTCTGAATTTTTCCTTCCTTGGAGGGCTTAGCGGCTGCAGGTGGAGTGCGCAGAACACGATCCGACGCAGCTCAAGCCAGTTTTCACAAGAACCATGACCCTCTCTGGACTAGGCTGGACCAGGGCATGAAGATCCAAAGAAATGGCTTTTTCAGACTATGGAAAACTTGGAAATCACTGTCTTGGCAACATACATTCTATGAAAAAAAATACCTAAATTGTGCATGGTACATTGGTTGAATGATCCCAAATTTCACCCCTCTCCGGATCCATGCCCTTGTGTGGAGCCTTGCCATGCCAGCTCTGGGCTTGACCTTGTAACTTGCTTTGGCCAAAGGGACGGAAACAAACTTGATACCATCAGAACCTTGAAAAGCGCTAACCCTTTCTACTGTCTTAGAGCCTTGTTTCTTCTACCATGAAAATACGTCCAGGCTAGCCTGCTGAAGAGGAGAGGCCACATGGATCAAAATCATCTCAGACCAGTTGGCTGCATGACCAGTTCAACCCAGCCAAGCCTGGCCCAGATCAGCAGAACTCCCCCCCCGCTAGCTAACTCATGAGAATAATAAATGATGGCTGATTTAAACCACTCAGTGATGGGGTGGTTTGCAGCTAAGTACCTGCTACTCTGCCCCATCTTTCACTTTGCTTTGGATCCAGGCTGAACGTTAAGAGATCATATCTTAATCTTCTCTTAGCCAGTGTGGTTTGGGAAGCCACTGTTTTCATGTCCAAGAAAACTGCTGCACCAGCAATTGCATGACTTGGAATTAAAGTGCCAGAGATACATGTAATCAAGTCATTTTAGTCTGGATACATTCGCAGTTTATCAAAAAGTATGCTGGAGCTGACTTTAACATAAAGGAACATTGTTTTCTTTTTGCTTGAGGGACATTGGTCATACAGAAGAAACCCCCTAATTATATATGCATCATTATGCATAATTTTTACTGCTTTGGAATACAGTGGCTGGCTGGCTCAGTGGCAGAGACTTAGTTCTTAGCTAATGATTCCTAAATGTGCAGCTGGATCCTTTGGGCCCGAGAGCACTTTTAGTCTTAGAAATGCAGTCACACTTGACCCAAGAACGAGCCTGCTCTATTCAGAAAGGGCACCTACTTTAGCCAAGGGTGCACAACCCTGGGGCCTCCACCCTGCCCCCCACCAATGGCCACAGCAGATTCACAGCCCACCATGGCTTTTGTTTAAAGTTAGGGGCTCTCTGTGACAAACTGTGCTCCCTAATAGGTCAGATTGCATAAATTTTAAGATATAAAATTACCTTCATTTTCAATTAAGGCTTCACAAATTTGTGCACAAAAGTATTTTTTGTTTTTTTTTGCAGTACGTGGGCCTCTCACTGCTGTGGCCTCTCCCGCTGCGGAGCACAGGCTCCGGACGCGCAGGCTCAGCGGCCATGGCTCACGGGCCCAGCCGCTCCGCGGCATGTGGGATCCTCCCGGACCGGGACACGAACCCATGTCCCCTGCATCGGCAGGCGGACTCTCAACCACTGAGAGTCACCTCTCAGAATATCAACTTCCGCCACCAGGGAAGCCCCACAAAAGTTTTTTAAATAGTTTTTTTCCCTGTGCTGTGTTTCACGGCTATGTTGTGTTCCAGAAATATATCAATTGTGTTAAAGCAAGGTTGTGGTTAACTCTCAAATATTCTTCTAGTTCGACCAATCACCAGTTAAATGACACATTAACAATGTACCTGAATTTCTCTTGTGGGAAATACATGTTTTCTAGTTTTAAGATGAACTCATAATTGCTTACTGCTCTCTTGTGGTTCGTATTAATGAGTGACGTCAAGGGGAACAGCCTGTAAGGAAATGTGAGAAGCATCACAGCTGGTGGGAATGGAGTCTCTTGATAGTCCAAGAGGACCTGGGGTGAGAGCAAGACGCCACTGTGTGGAGGGAGACCTGGGAATGAGACGGGGCATCTGGTCTACTCAGGTGAGTCTCGAAGTCTGTAAAATGAACAAGCTTCCGTGCGGTTGTGAAGATAAATGAGGCAGTGTACCTATAGCATTTAGTGGCTACATCAGTAGTAGTTATTGTTATAAAATTGTTATGGGGTATTTCAGTGAACCAGATATCAGCAGTAAGAAACAGGACATCTAACCAGCCCCAAAAGAGGATCATTAATATGTGGATCACACAGGGCTTTCTAACATGGGGGGAAAAAATGGTGACTCCATCTTGGCTGTAGGCAGAAGGGCATATAATCCGGGTGTAAAAGGGCACAAAATCCACGTGTTCCTACAGACGTTCAAATGAACCGTTCCCAAAACAACAAGTGATTAAAGTAAAGGATTTATTGTAATCTGCTTACAGTCCTTTGCAAAGACAGACATATGTTTTTGCATAAAGATATAAATTGCTTCATTTTAAACTAATTTAGTGTCTTTTTTAATTATATGAAGAAGTTTTGGTGAATTATGAATTGTACCAAACCAAGATTTTTAAGAGCAAATGTGGTACAAAAATAAGAGCAGACAATTTGGACTGGGACAGGCATTCAACAGTGGATTTAGAATATGGCTTTGCTGTTTAATCAAGCAAAGTTACCTGGAGACACACAAAGAGCCAGTAACTTCGTTAATACAAAAAGCTGATGCAGACCGTCTCCATCCCAAACCTGGTTACGTCAAGATTCCGATTTCATAAAAAGTAAGTCTGAGCTAAAAACTGCTCTTGTGAAGCCATTTCTTTTCTAGAAACTCCCAGTCTGCATACTGTGTATTTATCACCTTCCAAGTGTGGCTTTCATATTGCTGTGCGTGTAAGTTGACTGTATTTAAAGATCTGCGTAAAAATTAAATTCTTGAAACTGCAAATTATGTAAGAGAAACTCCTCCCTCTGAGTGCAGCTTTCACAGGTTTCCCCTTGCATAAGGCAGGTGTCTTCTGAAAGACATGGTAATGTTGCCTGCATGGTGAACCCTGGAGAAAAGTGTTGATCCCAACGCTGCCATCTCCCGGCCTTGGGCTTCTCCAGCTACAGCTTTTAGGTTTTGGAAAAGAATACGATTTCACCGAGTACCTGATGATTATCATCACTTTTAAAAGATTAATTTTGGCCTCTATTCAAAGTATTTAGTGCAATCATATTGTTAAGTTTCCCCAAAGATATATATGTTTGTGATTTGGGGCAAGAGAAAAAGCCATAAATTGCATCAGTGCCAAACAGATTAGTGAATTAAAAATTTTAGTGCCACTGTCTTGCTTATATGATCTGTAGTTTTTTTTTTTTTTTTTCCCAAAACTGTTTACATATAAAATTCATTTTTAAAACCTACCTTTTAAAAATCTAAAAACCCTCTAATCATCGTGCAGTCTCCTCGCCGTTCTGACTGGACCGTGCCGTGCCCACACACACCTTCCCAGTGCCTCCTGCCATGACCTCCGTGTTCCCATGACCAGTGCCAGGAGTGCAACAACCCCTTCTGAGACCAGAAGTGAACATTTCACCTTTTGCGGACGTAGCGCGTGCATGGAATTCTTTTCCCCCCAAAGGAGAAAATTCGATTTTTCTAAAATGGGATGAGGATATGCTCTCTGAGCCATCGCATTTCCAGTCTCTCTCTCCCCTAAAGCTGATTCTGCTTCTTGAGGAAAATGGAAAAGAGGCAGCTTGCCTAGAGCTGCTGCACTCCCCGGACATCCTCTCAGGGAGGGTGTCATCGAATGACGCCTTCAAGGAGCTGCAGACACCACGGTGCGCCGTCCCCAGTGGAAGGAGGATGGAGCCGAAGCCGGAAAACGTGCTCAAGTCCCACGAACACCCCAAGCGGGAGACCAAGGACGAAACGAAAGTACAGAAGAAGTAGAAAGGCTTAAAGACAACCGAAGAGGTTTAAGTGTGGTTATTTACAACAGAGACTGTAAAATGGTAAATTAGATATGAAGCTAAAAAAAGGCACAGCTTTCCCTTTCTTAAATACACTGTAAACGGTTCATGATGCATGCAGAACGTTTCACTTTACAAAAAAAAAAATTTTTTTTTACCTTGTTGGTTTAGACAAAGATAGTAAGTAGTACTTAAATAGTCTCCAGCAAAATAGAATTCTTTCAAAAATACTTTCCCATTCATCCTATTAACCATTAAAGTTTTTTTGTTTTTTTTGTATGTGTCTCATTTACAAAAGTTCCTTATACCTTATTTTAGGTCCTTCACAATTTATACATACAGTAATGTACAGCACAGCAAAAGACTGCAAAAATTATTGGTAAAGCCAACACAATAGATACTAGAAATTGAAACCAAGGCATTTGTTTGAACATCTTAGCCGTTCTAATTAAATAATAAATGGAGGCTAGAGGGTGTGGATACCAGTGATGCAGAAAGACGTGGGCAAAGCAGTGCCCCCAAGGGGGTCGCTAGTCCAGTCCACGTGCTCCGTTATTACACAACAGGAATCTGTATATATTTTTTTGTGTTTTTTGTTTTTTTAAATAACGAAAGAATATTAATGCCCCATATTGACTATACGCTTTATGTGCAAACCAAGGGTGAGCTTGAAAAAGTTCGTTAGTCCTTGAACCCTTTTAAAACAAGCGAACGATCCCAGAAACTACATGTCATAGTTAAAACTTCCATCTGTTAAAATATCAAAATCAGAGAGTTATTGACTAGATATGGCTTTTCATCCAGAGGAACAGGAACGTGTTTCTAAGTGCTGGGGGGTTGGAGAGGGAAGAACCTTTCAGACTATGCAGGTCTCGCCAAATCCACGTCACCCTGCCCGCCTGCCTCCCAACCCTTGACATGATTTTCAACTTGAGCAACTGCTGAACAAGTGGGAATCAACCATCACGTGTCAAAAATATGATTTTCTTGGGTCCTTCGTGGGTGTGTAGTAACACGGGGAAACTTAAGGCAAAGTTCTTCTGGTGAGATGTCTCCCGTCACTTCCTGTGAAAGTAAAGGGTCTTAGCGTTCCCGGACTCCACCTTCGGCAGCTGGTCGCTGATGATCTCCACCAACATCGCTGGGAACTCCACTTTCAGGGCCTGGGACTCCCGGAAGGTATAGAAGCAAAATTCCAGCAAGTCGCTCACCAGCTGCAACAGACAGACAGAGGGGCTGTGACATCAAGGCCTGATTCCCACCCTGTCTCCGGGCCCCTCTGAGTCCTAACTCCGGCGTAAGCTCAGAGCAACATTCACAAATCCCACCGTGTCTACGAAGCTTCTTAATTAACGTGACTAAGTCATCCGTCTTGGGGGAGGAGGAAGGGTGCTCAACGTCCGCTGCATGTAACAGGTCTTTCGTGCAAAACAGATTCAAACAGGAGCTGTGTCATTGTTGAGTCTTAAATATATCAGCAGCAACAGGGCCAGTAACAGAGTTCATAGCGGCAGGGTCACTGAATTGCTCTCATCCAATCCTCATCTATAAATGTGTGAATTGGGCGGGGCAGGCACCTGTGTGTAGCTTTGGGTCCTGGCGCTGGGCCTTCCCCAGCTTGTAAGGGCAGGTGCTGTGCCCCCTCGAGGCCTGGCTGGGCCCTGCCAATGGAGCTGTGGCCACAGTGGGAGCCCGACTTCCACCGGCAGCCCCCTGGCCTCATCTTGCCAGTGTCCTCCTCCCTTCAGGATCCCAGTCCTGAGCTGGGGGCTGGGGCTGAGACTTCTCAGCCCCATTCCCAGCTTTATTAAGATATAACTGACATACAACTTTGTGTGAGTTTAAGGTATAGAGGGGTAGTAGATTTGATACACTTTTATAATACTGCAAAATGATGAACACCTCTATCAAGGTACGTAACTACCATTTCTTTTTTGTGATGAAAACTTTTAAGATCTACTCACTTAGTAGCTTTTGCATGTATAGTACAGCATTATTACTACAGTCACCACCATGCTGTACACTAGGTCACCAGAACTTATTCCAATTAATAACTAGAAGTTTATACTCTTCGGCCAACATCTCCTCATTTCCCCCACCTTCTGGTAACCACCATTCTACGCTCTGTCTCTATTAGTTTGCTTTTTTAGATTCCACATATAAGTGAGATCAGATAGCATGAGTTTTCTCTGACTTATTTCACTTAGCATAATGTTCTCTAGGTCCATCCATGTTGTTGCAAATGGTGGGGTTTCCTTCATTCTCATGTCTGAGTCATATTCCGTTATGTGTGTGTATGTGTGGATATGGATAAAGATGATACATAATATCGTCCTTATCTTATATCATCTTTATCCATTCATCCATTCTCAGCCACTTGGAGAACATGAAAACATCAAGGAAAGTGTCTATGTCTTTCCGCCTGTCCAGCCATTTTCCCTACTCTGTGACCCAAGGACCTTTCCCGTCCTCCTGGACCTGAACTACTCCCAATTCTGTAAGGTTAAAAAAAAACAAACCCACAAATGCAGTATAGCATTACTGGGTGCTATTCTCTTTACTAGGAATATACCTTCAAATCAGAAAGTATACATTCTAATTTTTCTTTAGTTAATTCTGTATCCTCTCATGGGAAAAATGACTTTTGGTCATTTCCCACTGTATTAAAGCAGACAACATTACATGTCATAACAGTCATCTTAATAAAGTGTTTTTCACTTTAGTAAGTGAAAATCTGTAACTTTCCCTCAGGATTCAAAAAAAAAAAAAAAACCCAAAACAATTAGCAGGCTTAAATTGAGTCGCGTAGTAAATAACTGTGTGGTAAAGGCCTTCGATACAAACCAGGAATCCAGAAAAACTCACTGGGAGATATACCTGGTGCTTCTGTTTGTGCCTGAATATGCCCTCAGTCTGTAGACTGATATCTTCCTAGGTAGGTCCAAGGACTGACTTTTCTGTACCCACAGGAAGTTGGGGCCAAATAAGCTGGGAAAGAGCACAAGGCACCATCTGCTGTTGGCTTGTTCAGACACACTTGTGCTTGCTTAGTGCATGATACACCTCAGTTTCCCCATCTGTAAAATGGGGGCCATGAGAGTATCTGCTGCAGAGGGGTGCAGCAGAGGCTGAATCAGTGAACTGGCATGGAGTAAGTGCTGAACAGATGCCAATTCTCAATCATCCTCTCCCTCTTCCCAAACTCCTCCAACCATCACTTTTCTCTGCAAACTGGGACACAGCTTGCAAGACCTGCTCTGGGTCATCTTTGTGTAACCTGGTCCTCAGGCCTGCCTTCTATAAAATGTGGGATGGGGGAACTTTGTATTTGGCCTTTCCTGGAAAGGGAGTCTTGAAATAGACTTGGGGTGGCAAGTCTTTTAATTGTTTCCGGTGGTGGGCCAGTGGCTGCGAGCGCGAAAAAGCCACACTGGGTCCTGCTCTCCAGGTGTGGTACCACAAACGAGTCTCACTGTGGACCGCGGGTCACGCCCTTCAGTGGCACCGGCCAAGGGCACTCGGGACCTAGTTTAAGTTCATCCTGATCTCTGCCCCTGCTGCTGCCCCCGAGGGTCCCTCTGGGTGGCCACCTTCAGGGCTGTGAAGGAGGATGTTTTTCCTTTTAAATTTTTAACCCAAGGGTTGACATCCGAGGTTCTAGGCCATATTAACTCCCCCATAGGACAGCTCTGCTTGGCAGCCACAGCCTGCACATCTCCAGGGCTGGGACTGGCTCACATCCAGAGATAAAGGCTCCCGGTGCTCAGAGCGTTTGAGGTGCGGGGCAGGGGTGAGGTGGAAGGTCATGGTGACAAGGTGCCCTTGGCATATGACCCGAGGGGGGTGGAGCTGGGCCGTGTGGCACTCAGGGAGCAAGTGTGGGGTCGCTCAGGGGGTTAAGAGCAGCAGGAAGCTTGTGAGCCTGTTGGCTGACATCCCTGACACATTACCTGCAGGGCCAGGGCCACTGAAGGGTTTATGCTTGTAAACAGGAGACAGCACTGCCCGCAGATTCCTATATACAACGAGAGGTAAGGAGCAGAGTAAATCAGTCCGTGAACCTGAGGCAGTGTGCAGGGGAGCACCCCTGTGAGCCTGTAAATGGGGACAGGTCCCCTGCCCCGTCTTTAACACCCACACGAGTATTGCCTAGGAGATGCTGGGGAACTAGACCAGATGGAGAGAGACCAGGGCCAGGGGCTCGGCTGTTTTTCCTGGCAGGTTGGCTGGGGGTTAGGTGTCCCAGACGCTACTCACAGACCCTACATATTAACTGGGGGCTGGCATTTCCCGCGCATCTCTGGTCCACGTTCCATGGACTGGGAAAACAGCTCATTTCCAGTCATGAGCTATACCCAGGGCTTCTGTTCATGATAGATGTCAGCTGCTGAGGGATAGGGGGCTCTCCTGGGGCACATGGGGTCAGCCTGGAAGGCTGGGCCTCTGACCCTGCGAACACCTGGAGAGGGGACCCCCATTACCACTAACTGGCCCAGATGCCTGGGGGCCCCAGCAGCTACCAGAAGGCGCTGGCTGCCTCACAAGCCTGCCTGACCTGCCTGCCCTGGGAGGGCTGCAAACCTCTGAAGATCCCAACCCAGCAGGGCCTAAGCCAACAGCTGCAGTTGCTGGGGTCAGGGATCATCTGATAATCGAAGCCAGGAACCCCCAGTCACTGGGCGAGGAGACAAGGGCCGCTCTGGGCCAGGCCTGCTGACCCACAGTGCATTGCCAGTGCGCCAGACCCTAGGGGTCCCTGGCCCTTAGCGGATGTCTGAGTTGGCCTGTGGCTGAGGTTGGTACGAGGGCACCACCCCTCCTGGAAAAAAACAAGGCACGGGTAGGGCGAGGCTGCAGGTGGTCAGAGCATGAGGCGGTGGGAACTAGGTCCTGAGAGCTGGGGAGTCACATACTGTTGGGTCGGCAGAGATGTTGACCCATCAGAACAGATACTGGTTCCTGAGCCAAACTGCTGTGTCACAGCAAAGTGTCTAACGGTCACGTTACATATGTGTGTCTCCTGGGTGTCAGCCTGATGCAAGGCAGGCGGCACCTCTGCCAGAGCCTGGAGGAGCCAGGAAACATGGGGACAACCAGGTATGATGCATGTGCCCTCAGCAGGCGCCATCCTGTCCTCTGCCCCAGGTACAGAGGGTTGGTTGGGGGCAGGCAGGCCCCATGGTCACAGCCTGGAAGGTTGGTTAATACTAGGCTAGAAGGAGAGTCAAGAACCCTAATTATAATCAGTAATAAGAGTCCATATTATTAGGAATCAAAGAAAGTCCTGCGTTGACTTTTCATTCTGTACAAAAGGCATCTGTTGGGATCACAGAAGTCTAGCTGGACGCTCAACATGATTTATCCAGAGCCCGGTGTCAGGGCCACAGCTGTTAGGGTGACAGAGGAGCCTGACAAGGTCACAGGGTGACTGGTGGCACTTTGCTTGTTCGACACTGAAGCTATCAGGCTCGGTCGGTGCCTATTTCCCACTCTCTCCACTGAGTCATCGCCTGCGGCAGGCCAGTAGCTGGGCCCTGCTCCCACCATGAGCTGCAGTCTCTTGGAGGGAGGGGCACGCAGGGAGGGTTCGGCACTGCTGTTCCAAGATTACACAATCAGTGAGCAGTGACTGAGCAACTGAATGATAACAGCCTCTCTGGGTTGGGTCCCACGGGTTTTCAACAGCAAGCCCATGTCTCATAAGTTAGCTGCTGACTCCAGAACTTTCACCTCATGAGGATGGAGCTTTGGCTTGAATTGAGCATTGGGAGGTTTGAAGCTTTATTTGCAAAGATCAGAATTTTAGCCAGATATATTGATAGCATTAGGGGCAAAAGATACACAGCTTCAACTCTTAAATACTGTTAACAGTAATAGAAACGGCTAGCAACTGTGTACCCTCTAGCAATGGCCTTCTGAATGCTGGAAAATGATGCACAGTGATTGATTATATAAGGAGTCTGGGCTTCATTCAAAACCCGCAACCTCCACCCAGTGAGGGCTAGTGTGGAAGATGCTGGCGTGTGCACAGGTTGGGGCCCCATGGCCACGCGGGGCTGCTTCTCTCTGGCGGGGATGTCTCAGCAAAATGTGATGGTAACAACACCCCCTCAACTTAGTAGCATTTGTTTCTACACCTAGAAGAAAATGTACCTTTTTTAACAACAAGGTTAGACTATTTGCTCGTGGATTCCCTTTGAAAACCCAGGCCCTG